CTGATTAGATGTATTCACTAAACTAATGCACATGTTCGATGACGAGGAACCCACTTTGAGACTAATAATGGCTGGAGACGGCTTGAATGGGTAATGAAGAAAAAATTTAATATAAATTTAACATAACAACAAATTTACAACGTTTCGACAAGGTACCTGATGATGACAAAACCTTGTCGAAACGTTGTACATTTGCTGTTATGTTAAACTCATATTAAAGTTTTTCTTCATTACCCATTCAAGCCGTCTCCAGCTATTGTTAGTCTCAAAGTGGATTCCTCGTCATCGAATTCGAGATTACTAGTATGATGCCATTCGAAACTTATGACAATGAAAAATCTTTAATCATTTTTTTGTAATTCCTTTTTCAGAATCGACTTGCCCTTGCGCGTCTACCTGACCCTCTAAGCTTTTGTAAATATTTAAATTTACAGTTAGAGTCCTTTTGAAGAAGGTTAGGCCTACTGAAGATGGAGGTAAAATCAATGTTTCAATGCAGTGTTCATCGATTTCGTGAATAATCTTATAGTATTTGGAAGTAAAGGAGGGAGGAAGAGGTCCAAACGAACCTAACCCTCCCACGTCGCGCAGAACGACGAAGAAAGAGTTATATAAGTACACCCATGTACAATAATATTCTTTATAGCCTGTTTATAACCTTATCACGTTACATTTTTCTACATAGAGGTGTGGGGTTGGGGGTTAAGCAAAGTTCCTTTGAAGAAAAATGTAATACATCACCTGAGTATTCTAATACATTACCTGAGCATTTTAAATGGGATTTTGATTTACTTTACTAATTTTTTGTGGGACTTGATACAGAAAGAAACGTTTATGTGACACCTTGAGACGAACCGATTAATGAGATAGCTCAGTTAAAAGTACAACTCCACGTGGTGACTTATAACACTAAAAATCACGTCGGGCAGAGCACAGAGAGCATATTGTGTAGTTTTGGGCTTAACAACAAACAATTATATAATGAGGCGGGAAAAGCAGAGATAGCTTATTGTTGCAACTGTACTTTAACAACAAAGAAGTATATGCAAAACATTTCTCGATCTTTTTGTATATAATATAAAAAAAAGCCTTAAACAAAACAAAGTCATCAGGGCACAGGCTACGTACGATACGGGGTATTACGTGTGTACTGGTTTTTAGAGGTGACCGTGGAAACAGGAACCATATTGTGGTGGGAATATACCGTCTATCAGTCTTAACCCCCGTTCGCAAAGTTTGTAAAGAAAAATAATAATAAGACAGTGAAATAAGAAAAAATAAAAAAAGATAAGTGAGCAGGGTGTGGGTGCTCTAGCCCTCAACGTCCCACATCTATATCACCCTTTACTACCTACAGACAGTTGTGGGAAGGTGACTGCTCTAAGAGGAAAAAGGAAAAGTCCTGCCATTAGAGGTGGTAAGAAAGAAAACCCTTACCTCCCGAAGTTAACGTTCCAGCCCTCATTGTGGTAGTAAAAACTCAAATGAATAATGTTGTATTAGTGGGAGTAGGACAACTGCCGGTGGACAACTGCCGCACTGCCGCATTTGTATGGTTAACTTTTGACTAGATAGGTCATGGTCACCAAACTAGCTTTGATCAAAGAAAATAAAAAAACAGTATTTCAAGTGAGTTTTAAAATTTACATATATGTTATCATATAACATTGGCTATTAGTAGTTTGAT